GGACGTGGAGGATGAGGGGAAGGCAGGGAGTGTGAGGGGAGGACGCGGGGGGTATGAGGGGAGGACCGGGGGATGAGGGGAGGGCAGGGAGGTTGAGGGGCTGAGGGTCCTATTGTGGAATCCCAGGGATTACGGGTCCGACCTCGGAGGCGTAGGAGGGGATCTGGTCTGAGGGGTCTGAGAGGGGTAACTCCCAAGGGATCACGTTTTGAACCTTGAAGTCAGGATCTGATCCAGGAAGTGTCAGGGATTAAAAGTATGATTGGGAGGCATCTGAGGGCATCCCTAGCCTCCAGCCTGGGATCTCTGTGTGAGGCGTGGGGTCTGGCAAGTAAAAGGTAAGAAAAGCTGTGAGCCTGAGAGGAAAGGGCCACAAGGGGCAGAGAAGGATGTGAGAGTTGAGGGCACTCGGGATGAGACGGGATGGCACGACGGGCCGGGATGGAACGGATAAGGCCTGTCTAAAAGGAGGATTCCGAATAGGGGGACCACTCTTTGCCCAAGAAGGGCATGAATTGGCCAGGGAATTTGACTTCAGTTTGGGGGAGCGAAGACAGAACTACCACGGGAAAGTGGGTTCTGGATACCCTTTTTATGCCTTTAGGAAGGAGAGGAGGCAATCTACCTGGGCTGGGTAGAGTGAACAAGAAGACAGAGAGTCTTGGTCTAACCTTGGAACCACAGGTCAGGCTCCAGTGATCTACTGAGCAGGAGCAGCCAGGGTGTAAATCAGAAGCAAAGAAAGAGGTAACAGGGGAGTCAGGTCAAGGTGGTCACGAGCTTTTTTATTTGAATCAGTCTTCACTCAGCATGTTTTTCTAGATTCAAAGATGACATGAGAGGTAGCCCAACTGTCTTCCATTGTTAAAAACCACTATTTTTGCAAAGGAAGCTGTCTTTATCTTGTGAAGGGCTGCTTTTACCATTAGCTGTTCTGCTTGCTCTTCACTTCCTCTTTGGTGAGGCTAATGATTAGAGAACAAGATAGATTATGAAAAACTGCATTTGTCTCGTCCATTTTGCAAGAAAAAATAATGTTGATGTTTTCCTAGCCTCACAACTTTCGTTATTGTGGATTGAAGTAATGATAATTTTGCCGTCTTTCTGTATGCAGTTCTAGTACTAGTGGCCTTTATAGAGGGGACCTATTCAGTACTAAGCCAAGTGCTATGGAGTGGTGGTTAGAGTAATGAAGAAAGGTATGAGAGGAAGAGGAAGATAAAGAATGTAGAAATGTCTCCTTCTAAAGAAACTAAAAGTTTTTATGGAGGCTGGAGAGGTGGCTCAGTGGTTAAGAGCACTGGCTGCTCTTACAGAGTACCTGGGTTCCCAGCACCCACATGGTGGCTAACAATTGTTGGTAACTCCAGTTCCAGGGGATCCAATACCCTCTTCTGACCTCCACGGGCATTGCATGACACAGGTGCACTTACATATGTGCAGGCAATGCGATCATACATATAAAATAAAAATAACAAAATAAACTAAAAGTTTTAAAGTTGGTCTTTATCTGCACTATCTGCAACACTTGACCATCCTTAAGATTAAATTTAGACAATTGAGCTATTTCATTTAAATAAAAACATGCCTTCTATTTGGTTTTATAGTTTGGAGGGAGGCTCAAAGTGTCATATTTAAATATTTGTATTGTGCCTTGAATAGAGTATTTTTTTTTACATATATTTATTTTGATTTTGTGTCTATGAGTGTTTTATCTGCATATAAGGGCATGATGTGCATGCAGGGCCCAGGGAGGCCAGAAGAAGGCACCAGATCTGCTGGAACTGGACTTATAGATCATTGTTAGCTGCCATGGAGGTGCTAGGAATGGAACCCGGGTCCTCTGGAAGAGCAGCAAATGCTTTTAAGCACTGAAGCATCTCCCCATCCCTGATTATTAGACTTTGTAATCACCGGAACATAGAAAAGCTAAGAACTCTGAGAACTATAGGCCCTTGGCCCGGTGAGGAGTGGGTAAGCCCTGGAGAAGAAACGTAGCCAATCAAACCTGGATCACTCTTGCTGCCCTCAGTTTTCTACCTTCCCTTGTGCCTTGTTCCCTTTTGAGGCTCCATTCGCTTCCACACAATTAAAATGGCCCATAACCAGGATCATGTCTGACACTACTTGTTGGCCTTGAGCGAAGCATTGTCTTAGTCTACTGCATCTTTGTCAGCCATCAATAGTCACAAGACCCCTAGTTATTCATCCCAGACCCAAGTTGTTGTGTCTCTACTGTTACGTTGGTCTCAATCTCATGAAGAGGTGCTTGTAGTCTGTTGAAACCTGAGTTAAATGTCTCAGCTTACAGCTTAGTTCAACCTGCCTCTTTATTCTGGAGTAGCTGGCCAGTCAGTCCTGAACAGTAACCCCACTCATAACCTGCAATTTCTACCCCCACTGAAGGCAGTAATAGTCCTCTTATTAACACACCAATGACCTTGAGACACCTTAAATTGTATAATAGATAAATAAATAGACTCAGGATTCTCATAGGTTTTCCTTTTTCTTTACCCCCCCCGTTTTTAAATTTTTTAAATTATTTTTTAATATTTTATTTATTACTTTTTAAATTTTATATGTATGAGTGTATTGCCTGCGTGTATGTGAGTGCACACATGTCATGCAATTCCGTGGAGGTCGGAAGAGGCCTTCGGATTCCCTTGGAACTGGAGTTAAAGATGGTTTGTAGCCACCATGTGGGTGCTGGGAATTGAACCCGGGTCCTCTGCAAGAGCAGTCAGTGCTCTTAACCACGGAGCCATCTCTCCAGCCCCTGTCACACCCCCTTTTTAAATGATTAGTAGTCACTTGTTAGTTCTGTGACTTTAGACAAGTCATTCAACTTCCTTTGTCTATTACATTTTTTTCATCTATTAAATTGAAAATTTTCAAAGGAAGGTTAAAATTAAGTGAGATAATATGTGACGTAATGTAGTCTAGTTTGCTGATCTCAGAATCAAGTTCTGCTACTTGTCCACAATCATATACTGTACTTAAAATTTGCTACTTGGTTTGAATTGGTTGGGCATTTATTTTTCCTTCTTTAATCCATGATGAGTAGTGTCACCACAGATGTTTCAGTAGCTTTAATGATAAAGGGAAAGGGAAAATTTGAATAAGCATGGCAAAATAATGCTTATACCATGTAGTTTAAAATGTGGATATCTTTTACATAAGTATGACTTGATATACTTGATCCAGACTAAGTTTATTATGAATGACGATTGACGTCTTGTTGTCACTAGCCTTTCATTATAGGTCTTAAACTTGACACTTATCCTTGGTCTTCTGTTTGTGTGGTTTTTAACTATTTGTGGGTTCTATGCTACTTTGTCAGAGTGAGCTCTGCAGAGAAATGGAAAACGTAAAGGGAACCAGGTAGAAAAAAGTAACCCTAGTTTTAATTTCCTCAACAGATAATAGAATTAAAACGGTTGGTTATAGTTAAGGGATCATTTACTTATATCAAAAATATTTGTTGAGTGCCTGCAATATACTAAATATAGCTCTCTGGACATAGAGCAGTGAACAAGAGAAGGAATCATTCCCATTTAAAGCTTATATTTCACCGAGAAAAGTAAAAAACAATTTAAAAAGTATGTAATTAAACTTTGTAGTAAGTGCTATGAAGGAAAGCCAGAAAGAGAAGTCCTCTGTCGACAGTTATCAAATGGAAATGTGATGAGAGTCCTCTTAATTTGTCAGAGGTACCTTAAAGTCAGTTTACTGTTAAATACTCTCATTCGTTGCAAATCTCAAAAGTAGCACAAGAAAAAAAGTCCAGTGTTCGGCAGCTTGTTCAATTAAAATCCGTATTGGTTGCTTAGTGTGGATATGAGTGAGTCTTAAATGAATATGCACTAACCTCACTCTGTCTCTTTATTTGGGGTCTCTGTATGCATTTTTCTGGCAAGCAAGATTATCTCTTGGACTTTTTATTACTGAGAGCTTTTAGAAGAATCTTGGCCAGACATCAGCCATCACTTAGGAACCCTAGTTATCCACATAGTACTGTTCCTAAGCTTCATTACAGAAACCACTACAAATGTGCATAGAACTTCAAGAAAATCCTTCTTGTGATAGTTCTGGAGTTCTTACATGTATTACATTATCCCAGTTTTATTTGATAGACAATATAATGATAGCAGAGTTTTCATGAGAAGAAAAGTTTAACAACGTGAGTTTGGACCCAGGAGTGGTGGCATAGCTTATGTCAGCCAAGTCTTCCCATAGATAACACTTATAAACCCTGGTCAAAACAGAAAAACTCCTATGAAGGCAC